CCCCCCCCAGGCTGTAAACGAGGGCTGGTACTTTATTTTGCGCCTTTTGGCCCGAGCAACACGGATAGTACTGTTATCTTCACTACTTTCTTTTGCAAAAGCTTTTTATCTCTATCCCTCTCAGATTCCACAACCTGTACTCCGTTCAACGTGGCTTCACAAAAGTATGGAGGCAGCTGTTTGAATCAGTCCTCGAGTAACGGAGCTTCGAATGGCTGCGAAAAAGTCCTTGATGAGAGCACAGCTATTGGCTGGGAGTCGTCTACGAATGAGGGCGTCAACTCCTTTTTCGAAATCGGTTTTCACTCCACTTTCATCATCAACAAGCTGCGAATCATGCAAATGACGACTTCAGGACGACGGATCCAAAACATTTTGATGGAGTTTAGCGACCATTCAGTAGAAAGTGTAAGGAACTATTTCTTTGACGAGCTGGGTCGCAATACTTGATGCTAACCGATCTAACTACGTTACTGGGGATATAAAGTCATGGTTAAGGAAAATACATAAAATGAATAGACAAGCTTGCTTGTCCAGTCTACATGTACAATATTTTTCATTCATTCGCACTGAAAGGTTCCTAAAACGACAGTACTCACGATGTATCTGTGGTAGGCGTGAACCAAACTTTGCTAAAAAATGTGAGAATCTGTTTTAAATAGAGACCGGCCTTTGTGTTTTGCAACCTACACACATCTATACAAATAGATATGAAATTTTCCTTTGTTTAATTTTTCTTTTTTTCATTGTATACTGCAGATCAGCCTTAAAGAAAACTCATTTGATTTTGAGGAGTTTGTCTTCTCATTCCGCAAAGTAGACGGGGTTAGATTCACAATAATAGATGTGTATAATGGCAGTGGGGGAGTTGGAATACAGGAAATTGAATTCTACAATGGAATGTGCAAACAAAGTAAGTTGTTAAAGAAAGTTGCCGTTAATAGCAAGTAAGTACAGTAAACAAAGTAAATTGTTTTTGCAAATCAGACTATTGCCGGCAAGAATGTACAGGTTAGGTTTATGGCGGAATACAGGCGTGAAGAAATAAACAAACAAAATGTAAGAGGAACGAGCGAACTGCACATGTACTGATTGAATGAATGACTATAAAATCCAAATTACTTCATGACTGTCTGTCATTATTTAAATTATTTCTGACTATCTGTCTGTCTGTCTGACTGAGTGACTCACCTGACTGCCTGAATGAACGGACCAATGAATGAATGCGGAGTGAATAAAAACAACGTCTATGAATAGCTTTAAAAGCATCAATATCCCTTTTTGTAAAGTTCTTGTATGTCTATTAATTGGAGGAAACGGTAACTCTCTTTTCTTTTATTGATATACCATTACCAGTCTAAAGGAGCTTCACTTTGCTTACAACCAGGGCAGGCCTTCAGGAAGTCCTGTAATTTCTCTTTGTATTTCTTTTAGAAACAATTTGTGACGCCATCCAGCTCTTAAGCCACAGCCAATCAGTTCCCTACCGTCTACACTCCACTCAGTTCCCGCTGATGATCAACTCAAGAGACAATGTCTCAGTGTCACTCACAACTACTTCACGCGTCGACAGCCATGGATATAAGATTGAAATTGTTGCCAATGGGAAAGTGATCTTGAAAAGTAACGATGACGAGATTAAACAAGTGACCAAGCAATCCAACGTTACTCTGTTAAAAGAAAACGAAACACGGCTATTTTGGGTGGAGATACAAGCGGAACGATTGGTTTTTGGTTCCGGAGATAAGGTATGATAAGTTCTGATTGGCTGAATCAATTGTAGACGCATTTTGGTTCAACTTCCGATCTATTGAACAACAGACGCATAGATAACGACATTATTAGCAAAAATTTTCTTTTTTATCACACGAAACAAATAAATTCCGTGTTGCCGTAGGTCTGTACAGTAATACGTCTCAGAAGACGCCAAAATCTGGTGAGAACATTAGCTCCATGTGAGCCACTTTTTTGTTCTGACCACATTTTGAAGTTAACTGTGATCTATTACCGAACAGACGCGCGGTTGCATGGAATCTATTTGTTGAATAGACAGTCTGCGTCAGTTTAGTGATCAGAAATATCGGCCAATCCTTTGATGAAGATTGTTACCATTCTTCCTCCCAAATTTCTTACTAATTGAACAGCTCACCTTAGAAAAATTTTAGTGGTCTCTGAGGCCGCGAATTTCTTTCACCCTGCCCATAAATATACCCCCAAGAAAGCAAACACTTCACGTCACATTGTCGAGCTTTGACGATCTTGAATATGGAAGAACTTGCTAAATATGAGATTTATCACGTGAGACGCTATTTACGATGTAAAGGTTGATTTGAATAACTTTCGCATCAGCGATATTTGTATGTTTCAAACAGCACACTTTTTTTTAGAAATCTCGTATCATTAATTGAAGAAATATTGTCATGATAGATTTACCTGTTCTGGAGGGATGCGAAACCAATCAAGACAAAGTATGCTTTCTTCTCAACGACGAGTTCAACAGCCATGATCCAGGTCTGTGCACGTATAGGTAAGTAATTTTTTTTTTTTATAAAATTCAGAGACAGTTACTTAAATCAGTAGTATTTATCGTTAACACTTACAGTGGCACAGCACGGCTACTTTTACCGTAATTCATAATGAATCCACTAGATTCAGCACTGAAAATCAGCGCTTACGACCGAAGGAAGTAAAGGTGACAAGTAATGTAGATTAAATTTCCTCTTCGTTTCCCCTTAAATCAGATTACTAAGTTTTGGGCGAGTGACTTCGGCCGGTGACACTGTCGCACTGTAATACAACAAAGAAACCAAATACTTTTCCGGTGCAGAGGCATTACTTCGATAAATGGTAGCTAATTTCAAAGGGGGGAATGCTGAGATACCTGTAGTGAGTTCAAGAGGCGCGGATTCCTTCACGACCCCTCACCAGCGCCTCATGTCAGTCTATCGCTCACTTGTCTGTGCTCCTGAAACGCTAAGCAGGCCACATTCCACGATTTTCACTTGACATATTTTTCAGATTATTGCTACAAAGACGCTTCTCATTATTGGCCATTGGACAAGTCCACATTTTATCAACAAGATTTGAAAGGTGACAAATCTCTGCCGGGAAAGATACACGGTACGTGGATCCTACATTACGTACCTGCCAACCTAAGCTTCACACCGCTGGCACTTTCCCTCTCTGGCTCGCATTCTTGGATTGATCTTGGTTCCAAAAAAGAAAACGAAGAAAGCTGTCTTTTCAGCCCTTTGCATTGCCAGAACGGAATTTCTGTTAGCTTTAAAGCCAATCTTTCAGCAAACGGAATTGGTTACATTTTATCTTCAGGCGGGCAAAGCTCAGGTGGTTTTTCAATTTACCATGTCGATGATGTCATGCATTTTAATCTGAGTGATGGTCAGCGGATCTGGCAGGTCCAGGGATCGTATGAAAAAAACGCATGGCACGCATTTGTGATGAGCTGGAGTCAAGGAGACGGTCTAACCGCAGTTATTAGCAGGGAGTCAACCAGTGTGTTGCGTGACACAGCTGGAAGGATTTTCATGCCAAAGCAAGCCTCTCACTCTTCTTTGAGAATAGGTCGATCTGCAGATGTTGTGCTAAGAGATGTAGCCATATGGGAAGAAACAATTGCTGAGGAGAGGATGTCGACGCTGCTCGGCTGTAACGGTGAGCGTACTAAGACCTTCATTCCACAAAATGCATTTTTCTCCTCGCTATCTCTGTCACGCAATCTCATTTGATAGCGTTAGGGCCCTAGCAGGCTGCAGTACATGAATAAATGAGGAAGTCTTTGTTAAATAACTGTCTACCTTGCTAGGAAGCCTCGGCCACGAAGAAAAAGCCCACCACTGTAGTATACCCGCGCTTACTACGATTAAAACTAGGCGCCTAAGGAGTCCGTAAGTTATTCACGCAAAAAATTTATTATAACCAACAGGAAATTCTGATCCGGTGGTTTACATGTATCTTATTCAACTCCTTCTGAAGGGACGATGAAATAGATAGATAGAGAGACATCTTTATTTAAAAATAACCGATGGTGAAACTCAGGGTAGTCCTGTCAGAAGCCTAACGGTAGAGTTTCCTGCCATCACTAGGAGCCCTGAGTTTAAATATATTCTGAATACCAATTCATAAAAAGTATCTATAAAAACATTTACAATATACGTGATCTAGTGATAGATGCAACTTTTTTGATACAATTGAAGATGTCTTTTATGTCAGAATTGTCACGGTAAGAATGCCACAGGGTGTTTTGTTTCAGCGCTGATTCGGTAACAGTTTATCTTAATTCCTTATCACAGTTCCTTGGAATTACTTGGGTTGCTATGAAGACAGTACGATTTTACCAAGGTTCGTTTTCAATCCAGGTGATTACCGAGTTAGCAGAATGACTCCTGGTCTTTGCATGCACTTGTGCGGCAATTTCATTTTCAGTTATGCAGGATTGAGGGATGACAACATATGTCTGTGTTCCAATTCTACGGCAAACGTGACAGAACGTCCTCGAGATCTGTGCCTATCTGCGTGCCTTGGTGCTGGAAATCTTAAGTGCGGTGGAGGATCTTACCTATCCGTTTACAAGTCAGTTCAAGTGCAACCTCTAACCTTAAACCTATCAGCTGATTCTTCCGCTGTGGCTCTCACCGCGTTCAACTTAAAAATAAAAATATTACCTTCTCTCTCAAAGAACCAAATTGTTGAGTCTTACGTACTATTTGTGGGGGACGGTGTGGACTTTTTGAATTATAATGAGACGAAGTCTGAAGCTACGCTTATATTCAGTGACCCGGGAAACTACACCATTAAGGGGAGAGCGATTGTAAAACATACAAAAACTGGCCATCGGTCAGCGGTGGAGTCTTTCATGATAACACCAGCGGTGTCTAATGTTACGGATATCGCGTTCATCTGTCCTACGGCGTATCCTGTGAATTTTACGTTCAGCTGCTCTCTACAATTTAGTCAAGGAACAAACGTGAACGCTACTATAGAGTTTGAAGGAGGATATTACATTTCTGGTTTTGTTCCGGGTAAGTTTTGCTACACTGATAATCTAGTGAATTTGTCGGACTGTTTGGAGACTACATTCATATGTACACTACATTCCACTTAATCAGTCAGTCAG